GGAAAGTAAATATATCTTAGGACAGAAAATAACAGGTGAGGTGTGTGTGTGTGTGTGTGTGTGTGTGTGTGTGTGTGTGTGTGTATAACAAATTACCCTTACTGGATTCTTTTCCAAATTAAATCATACGTTTAATTTAAGGAACATGTTTATTTTTTTCAACGTTTATTTATTTTTGGGACAGAGAGAGACAGAGCATGAACGGGGGAGGGGCAGAGAGAGAGGGAGACACAGAATCGGAAACAGGCTCCAGGCTCTGAGCCATCAGCCCAGAGCCTGACGCGGGGCTCGAACTCACGGACCGCGAGATCGTGACCTGGCTGAAGTCGGACGCTTAACCGACTGCGCCACCCAGGCGCCCCTTAAGGAACATGTTTAAGTGTATAAAAATAAGAACTTTAGGATTCAGAGAGAATTTCCATAAAGAACAGGAGTTTAAAATAAACTTGACAACAAAACCAATGCTGACTGACATGTAACACACAAGTGCAATGCTAGCTTTCATTCTAGAAATTTAGCGGGAATCTCAAAAGAGATTCCCAAGAGCCTTTGTGCTCTGATGGAAGGGGTAAGGGTGAGGCTGGGGACTCACTGAAAAAGAAAAAGCTCTTCTCCACTCCCAACCTCCATGCTGGGGGCATGATCTGCAGAGTCAGAGCCCTGCATGCCCATATTTATTCATAACGTTCTCCAGACATGATGAAACATCATTTTTCGTGCATTTAAGTGCCATCTTTCTCACAACCAGGATCCCAGGATTTACTTTTCAGGCTAGAGCTCCTATTCTGCATGCTTTAGGTTGCAGCAATAATAAAATGGCTCCCAAGGAAATGATGGAGCCTCTTTTCCAGATCTCCTCTTTAATGTATTTGATGGTTTATGGTGCAAAATTTGAAACGCAAGGAAAAACACATCCAGTACAAAAAAGGGGGGAAAAAGAGGAAAACCACAAAAACGTTTCTCTGTAAAATGTTTTTTCTTTACAGTTCTGAAGACAAAATTAGTTTGCAGCATCACTGAAGACGAAGACAGATATTTGAGAACTTCCTGACCTCTCTGAATCGCTTAAATGAAATTTGCAAGGTGGATGTGAGTATATAAAGAATATTATTATCATGTACTCTATAGCAATGGCCATTTTCTGGCAGGAGGTTAGGAGCTGAGTCATGATAGCCCAGGGTTTGGGCTCTGCATGGCTTCCCCTCCCTTCTTCCTGCCTTTTCTGATTTGCCCTCTCTCAAAGGTTTTCAAGTACTCCCTGCAAGTTATAGAAACAAGTGACTTCAGTGACTTCATTAATATATATAAAACAAAATACAGAAAATTAGTAGCACCAAAGCAACAGTCTTACCCTCCATTCAAAAGGTGAAATAATTAAAAAAAAAAAAAGAAAAAGAAAAAGGAAAAGGAAAAAAAGCCCCACCCTAAAATGCAATCCCTAAATATCCTCTGTCTCATTCTTGTGCTCCTCACATCTATCCCACAGTGTTTCCATAAGTCTTCGAATTGATGGGGGAGGTGTACTTCTCTGCATTTCTTAGTGGGAGGGGTTATTCAGAGCTGAGAGGTGGGAAGGACTTGGAACTGCTATAGAAAATGTTCAAGTTTTAAATGTATAGAAGTCATTAAGTTATAGTTATGGTTCTCAAAGGAATAGATGATTGGTATTTTATATTGAATTTAGATACGATCGCTCAAGCAGTTGCTTGAGTACATTTTATGCCAAAGAGGTAAACACCAGTTTCATATAAACAAACCATAACTTTAAATTGCTTCATACTCTGCATTTAAAATTTCAATCCCAGAAGTTTTATTTCAAAATTCAGAAATAACTGATAGAACGCCTCCTCATATTTGTAGCTGTTTGTTATAATAGTTGGTGGGCACTAAAATTTGGTATAATATCAGCTTAAAAGCACCATAAAGGAAATAAATAGCAATGCTGTTATTTTCATCTCTGGATTCACCAGCTGTGGGGTATGTACATTTTTCCCAGGGTGTTGATGGATGTGCCCTGTTCCAGTCACACCTCCTCTCATGAATCTTTTGTACACACAGACGTATGTATACTTTTCAACATCTAAGACGTGCACTGAGCTCCACAGTGAAGCCTGTGGTTTGGCAAAGCTGACTGATACATGTGGACTTAGACTCATTTGCATTTTGCTGTAAGCCCAAATCACTATCCATTTTCATTTTCTAAATGATTTAGGACCTTAGAGAAGGGGCTACAGCTATTATGTGGGCCAAAATTATATTCTATTGTTTCTTTGAGCACAGATGCTCTTAAAGATCCATGGAGTTATTAGGTAAGGCAATCATGTCACAAATTTCAATGAGCTGGCAATCTCCTTGTGCTTTCAATCCTTTTGTTCTGAGTAATTCCTCCTTTCTCAATAAGAGAGAGTCAAAATATTTATACTACTTGCTGCCATCGTGCTTCAGTAACCTAGGCAAAATATGAGGAGATGGAAAAAATAACAATTTGCATAGTACTATCGATTGTAGATTAAAGCACATGAAAATAGAAAATTAATCTTAAAACTGAAAAGTATCTATTGCCCTAGCAGGTATCACTACTGTGACTAATTATACTTTCTGAGTATAATATTAAATCCAGACAAATCAATAATATAAGAAAGTGATCTTTTCTTACTAGAAAAGTCAATCTCTTTGTTCAATTTAAATACCTGATACTTGATCCCTATGGTTAAAAGTATCTGATGTTTAGAAAGGGTTAATTTTCAATATACTGCATAAAATAGGTTTCTGGAGACATATTCTTTACAGAAATTCACTAATTAGTAACATGGGCTGAAGTCAAACCTAAAAGCATAAGAAATTTATTTTCTCAATCTCTTTCAAGTCACCCAATAAAAGGAACATGGGTTTGGGGGCCAGAAGGACCTGGCTTTAATCATAGCTGGGTTTCTTGCTAGCTGGGAAGTCTTTGGGAAATCACTTAACCATAGCCATCTAGTTTTTCCCCTCCTAGAGTGGGGTGAATACCACTTACCTTGCAGAGCTGAGAGTATCCAGGACATGGTAATTAAATGGTAATTACTATTGTTACACAGAAAGTAAATAGGAAGACACCGATTATTTATGTATGTCATATCATTTGCAAACCTCAGTAGTAATTATACAATGCTTGTAAGTAACAATCACAATAATAACGTAATCTCTTGGCAAAATCTCTGCTGCATACCATGCAATTATTTTTTTCTAAGTATCATGCCTGTATCAACATTTAATATTCACAATTCTACGAGGTACCATTTCTTATCCTCAGTTTACAAATAAGGAAACTGAGGCACAGAGAGGTTAAGTAATTTGCTCAGTGTCACACAGCATAGTCAGGATTCAAACCCTGGCAGCCTGACTGCAGAGCTTATGCTTTAAATCACGTCATTAAAAACCTTAAAATAACATTAATGTAAGATTAGAGCCATTCACTCGTCAAATATGTACTGAATACATAGAAAGTGCTACATTTTGTGGTAGACACTAGTATCCAAAACTTTGTCAAGATACAGAACCTATACCTTTTAAGGAGCTTTTAGTTTGGCAACTAGAACATAATTATACTATGCCAAAGTTATGATTCAAAAAGCCACTATTTCTCTGGATTGAAGAAAAAGGTCTTCTTCATATTACTATTAATAATCATACAATTCTAAAAATTATGGTACAACCGTAATTTACTCACAGAACAAAGCAAGGTTTCTATATTTTCAAATAAAAAAATGAATAAAGGGTCACTGCACTTTGTTCATCTTCACGTCCAGATCTTTTAAGAACAGACACAACAATTATTCTTACGTTATTACTATAGTGTGTCTAACAGTTTACCACCAAAATGGGTCACAAAAAGAATGTCTGGTCATTAAGAACACCAAGAGTTTGATCAAAAGGTAGATCAGTGGTGAAAGCAGCTCTAACAAGTAGCAAAGGAAACTAGATAAAGGAGTCCTATTTGCATGCACGTACAGAGAAAGCAATGAACATGTATATACTTTTCCTGCCTCTATTATTTGTCTGTTCCTTCCTCTTCCCCCTCATATAGTCTTCATTCTTTTTCACTGTCTTAAATACACAAACAATAAAGTAAGTAGGCTTCTGACTACCTGAAAATATGAGTTTTAGACTCAGGGTTACTCTAATTTACTCTAAGATGGAATAGTTAGTCATACCCTATCAATATCAAGAAACAATTGTGGACAACGTATACTTGTGGACAATGTATAACATATAATACATATAATGTATATAAACTAAAATGGTTTTGTTAAAAGACATTAAACACATTTGTTACCCATATTGTAACCTTAACCACTTTTTATTGAAAAGAACCGTACTGCTGCGTATGACTAATTGTGTAAGTTAAAATTGGGCCAATAATCCAACAGCAGTAGGTTCTGCCTTTTATCCTTTTTTTAAGGGGAAACAGGTTGTGCAGTAGCCAAGAGGGTTAGTAGAAGGAATGGAATCATTTTCATTTCAGTTTGGGTGAAGGTTATTCTATAGAGCAATGACTTCCCCCGTGCCATCCATTTGCCATAAACAACAGAAACCAAAGGACAGTTAACAAAAGGGAAATCAAATGGAAAAGATGTTGTAACTGATCATTAAAAGGCACTTGCACGTAATTAATATGAAACTACTGGGTTTGCAAGTAGCACCAACCCAAACAGGAACAGCATCTCCCTGGTTCCCTGTACAAAGAGGGAGAGCTCTCAGTGCCCCCACAGTGCTCACCTGATTCTCTGTGTGTCTTCTGGCAACCCTGGTGTGTGGCTGAAACTTGCAGGTATTTCCCCAAGATTTGGTTACTTCCCATCCGTCTTTTTTTATTGATTGTCTGCAATTCCCTCAGTTAAGAAGCGTGCATTCTTTATATTTTTAAAGTTTACTTAGCTTTTCAAGTGCTCTTGTGGGATCTGGAGTTTTTTTTTTTTTTTTTTTTTTTTTTTTTTTTTTTTTTTTAAGAGGAAGTCTCAAGGTCCCTTGCAGTAAGGTTTCAGGTACACTGATTGGATCTTTCATATGCTTATGTACAGAACGCTTTTACATTTGCTTTTAAATTTCATCTGTGGGCTTGAAACTTCCTGGAGGAAGAAAACAGCATCCTTTTAAATTATTGCCTAATTGTTGGCATTGAATTCAAATCATGCCTCATTGTGGTGTATATCTAACATTCCAAAGGCAATATTTTCCTTCTCGATTCAGTCATTATGAGATGATATCAATGATTTTCTGTAGTAAAAAAATAACGCATTTTGTGATTCATTTCACCACCCTCAGATTCTCAGACATAACTTTATTTGTGCGGTTTATTCAAACAGTGGTTTTCCTTCCGACATCCTGTAAGTAGGAACCATCTGGAAAGGTTACTGTGGAAACGGCAGGGGCTAGGGGGTGGGGCTACAGAGCAAGAGATGCCATGACAACCTTTTTCGGGTTTCCCAGGAAACATGGGTTGCTATGGGAACTGCATCAGTCAGGTCCGAATTAGTAACTTCCGCTGGAAGGAGTGTCTGCCACTTTAATCTTCTTGTGATACTGCAGAAGCTTATCTCGCAGACGCGTTAGGAATTTTGTTTGTTTCTCTCAGCAGCGCTGAAAACATCTGTTTCTACACTTTGGTAGATGTTGCTTGGAACACACACACAGAAGTTCAGAGGAATCTGTTAGTCTACCCCTTTCGAAATGCTCAACAAGCCCCAAAGAGTTGCAACCGATTAGTCAGATCAGGACATCTCAGGCATTTCCCTTTGTTCAAAGTTGTATATATCTTTAAAATTCCGGGAAGGGTTCCGAATAGAAGAAATCCCAGTCAAAAAACCAAAGAAACTCACGGGGGGTTTACAAGTCATTTTTCTAATCAGACTTCTCATCCACACATCCACAGCGTAGGCAATTGAACTAAATACTCAATAATGTTGAACAGTCCATCACACTGAAGCATCCTTTAAGTACGTGCCAGCTTTACTTAGTAAAGAAACAAGTGTCTTTTAATTCTGAGGTTAGGCAGTTACTCTAACTGTTCTTTAATTTCATTTCCTCCCAGGATGTACAGCTGCTTTTTGTTTGTTTGTTTGTTTGTTTGTTTGTTTGTTTGTTTTAGAGGGTGTGTACTAGAAATCAAGTTTAAAGTAAGTTTGTTCTTTGCAATATTAGAGAGAGGGGGAGAAAACAATGGAGAGCTGAGAGAATGCAGCCCACTTGCAAAACAGACACCTGTTTCAGTATGAAGCAGTAGGGAGAGGGAAAATGAAGTGTGCTTTCCACTTCTTCATGTCCTTTCCTTGATGAATGGTCTGGAAATGTATAAAACAAGGGCATACACAGACCAAGGGGGCACGTTCCACACAATACTGAGCACAGCATGTCACTTGTATCATATATTAAACGTCAGTAAATATCTTTTTGATGTTGACACAGGAGTTGGGATTATTGTTCGTGGTGCAGGTGGCAGTGGAATTGCCCGTTTTGAAAGGGGTCTGGGGGAAAGCGCTATGGTTCATGCCCCCCTCTTCGATCACCATATACTCCGACTTACTCAGAGTCGAGTTACTCCTTGCTTTTCGGAGCTCCTCCGCCGACGAGGAGAGGTGCTGGCAACTTCCCACGTGCATGTACTGGGCTTGTTCTTCCCCTTCTGTCTCCCGGTGGTAGAAGTAGTTGAAGTTGGAAACAATCACAGGGACTGGCAAAGCAATGGTCAAGACACCAGCGATGGCACAGAGGGACCCCACAATCTTGCCCCCTATGGTCACCGGGTGCATGTCACCGTAACCTACTGTTGTCATGGTTACCACTGCCCACCAGAAGGCATCCGGGATACTGCTAAAACCTGAAGTGGGGTCGTCTGCCTCGGCAAAGTAGACCGCGCTGGAGAAAAGGATGACCCCGATGAAAAGGAAAAAGATGAGCAAGCCCAGCTCCCGCATGGAAGCCTTCAGCGTCTGGCCCAGGATCTGCAGCCCCTTGGAGTGCCGGGAGAGCTTGAAGATGCGGAAGACGCGCACCAGCCGGATGACCCTCAGGATGGCCAGGGACATGGCTTGCTGTC